AATCTCCTATTATTCTTGGATATTAATCGCCGGCTGGGGAGGCCCAGTATGAGAGACAGAGGGTCCATCTCCAATTCACAACTGAAAATCTTCTCCATTTCAGATAACACATTGACACTAACACTTTTAATAAAGCATGAGGACGTGTTTGGCACCTAGACTCAACGAGGGTGAGGGTGACACAGCTATCACTGTGTCAGCACTGCCATCAAAACAGCTATGCCTCTGAGTTCAAGCCTTAACAAAACCACTAAGTTTTAGCTAAATTCATCACCCACACAGTAGTCATGAACAAGGGTTTGCAACCTCTACAATCAAAATTGCTTAGAAAACAAAAAAAAATCTAAATCTGCACCGGTCTGCATTAGATTATGATTGCTGTTTGGCAATTTAACGGCATTCCCTTGTGCGTTTTTAATAATGCTGTCTTTTTTAAAAATATAATAAGAAGAAATGTATTTATTTCAATTTGGGAGATTTTTTTTGTTACAGCAATTGATACAATTATAACAATAACAACAAGAAGAATTTAATATGCAATACATTTATAAATATAAAATAATACATTATCTGGGAGACGGCCTTCTTATATCTGTGATGCAGACCTGAATCAGGTTAGCAAGTTAGAGAAGGTGCTCTGCTAGCTGTCCAATAACTGGTGCAGAGGGTGGACCTCATGATGGATGACAGTTTGCTCCGTGATCTCTCCACCACAGCTTCAAATGTGTCCAGCTTGCAGCAAATGTTATCATGTTTATTATTAATATTGTTAAGAATATTAAAAATATGAATGAACCAGTTTCAGTTGTAATTCTGGCTCAATTGCAGTTTGACATGAAACACACGAGTAAACCAGCAGCACTGGAGGTGAAGCAAAAAAAAAAAAGTACATATTGTTACATTTAGATTTAGATCTATCACTGAGGGGGTCTCAAGACATGCTTGTCATGTGTATACATCCATGCTAACCATGGCTAGTTAATAAAATAAGATGATAAAGCAACAGAATCAGAATACTTCATTAATGCCAGACGAAATGATGTAATGTAACAGGTGACAGATGAAGGCTACGACGCACATGTTAATGAATAAAATATGAAACTTTTTCTTAATTCAGTGTATTAGCTACATGCTTATATGA